TACTTTATGTTCGACTAGGTTATTAAATTCTTTCACAGATAAAAATCTTGGTATCTGCGAGCTTAACGTTGGTGTTGCTGAATTCGATGGAAAATTGCGTGATTCTTTTCGACGTGACTCGATCAAAGGCTGCGCTGCATAATCCTGGAGTAGATTAATCACATGAGCAGAGGCCGACTGGCTTACAAATGGCAGCGGAGAATATGCATTCATTAAGAGCTTTTGCAGATAATTGCATAAAGAGAAGGAATCAGACTGATGTCAAGAGAAACATTCGGTTCATTATGTTCAACTGAATTTGAAAGTGATTTTTATCAAACACTCATTTATTCCAAAAAGCTCATGAACCGGAGAAATTCATATGAATTGAATTTCTCGAAGCGTTAAAAATCCAAATTTCCGTCATTTTGCTAATCATCGATACTCCTCAGCAACTGCTGTTGAGCTGAATAAAACTTTATAAATTATAGTTCATAGATGGTAATAAACCTCAGTTAGTTGTTCGCCTAGACCAGTGTTCAGTGATGAATTCAACAACGCTTTGCTATGGGAATTCCTATCCGTTGAACTACGCACCTCCAACTGCTTGTCTGAAAAGAAGAAGGGTTTTGCCAAAATCATGACAGAATGACGGATTATTAACTCTCACACTGATCTACACGCTTGTGAGAGTGACCAACTTCACGAACAGATTTCATACAAAAAAATTCATTCCTTATTGTTAGGATTTTTAACAAATCAACTATGAGCTATATGAACGTAGAGATGAATAAATCAAACGACTGAGACTGTAGCTGATGAAAGGTAACAAACAAGTTGGTGATGCTCTTATTTGATTGATTTTACGTGCCACACTTTGCTCAACCAATTGCGAATGCGTCATTGTCCTAGGTTTTGTTCGCATCAATGCGCTAGTTGACGAACGAGATCGTCTCAGCGGTCGTTCAATATTATTACCACCATTTCTTACATCATTCATCATCGCTTGTTCCACTGAATTCAAAAGTGAAAGCAATTTCAAAGCCGATTCATTGATGAAAATATTACTGCCTTGATAGTTATCAGCATTTGCACGAATAAATGCAGTCATAATAAAATTTGTGCATCCCTTATGCCAGATATGACTCTGATAAATATTGTGATATCAACACAAAAAAATAACCTAGGACTTTTCTCCGACGTAACTCTTCAGTGACATTGCTTTGCGTACGTTGCGCTCTGTGCGTTACATTCCTGAAACAATTATTGAATGAATAACTTGATAAGACAATGTTACGAAAATTCAGCAAAAGATGGGCAAACGTAACCTTTCCAAAAGATTCGGTTCTTGACAAGGAGGATGCTGACTAGTTGGCTGACTTGAGGTTTTCCTCTCGAAATGATTTGTTCGCTCAGTGTTATTGCTCGATTTCACCATCTTACGGCCAATGTACTGCAATAATGCAGGATAGAGAACAGCTTTTGATATTGGTGCACCGGATTCCGATTTACGTGGAGAAGAACTGAGTGCTTTTCGTATTCGCAATCTTTTGTTTGCAGCTGAGTGGTTGTTACAACTGACCATTCTGAAACTGAATCAATAACGCAAATATGGTCATCAACGAAATCAGTTTCAACATTCGAACTTTTCTTTTGCTAAATATGGAGGAGTCATAGTACGGTTGAATCTATTAGAAAGCATTTTCGGCAGTAAAAAGAAGAGTTCCCACTGAGAAGCTTCACAAAGACAGAAGGTATTTTCTGAAGATCAACGACTGTGATGAACGAGTTTGCGTAACTGAAAATGATCAGAAATTGATTCGATATATATATATATATATGAAAACAATCACTCACCCATCTGGTTCATGGTCTTCTCTNCATTTCTTCTGTTCGCTTTCCACTTTCTTAGTGCACAAAATTTATCAACTAACGGGAACTATTAAAAACGATCATTGAATTGTTACATATTAATCTTTTTGTTGAAAGATTATTGTAAAGATTTTATCAAAACAGCTGTTAATAACACTCAGAGTCAGTGTTGGATATTATCTGAAGTATTCTATCATAAACATGAATATCACTGACACTGAATCAATGTATCCACATTGTTTCCGAGCAAAGCTGTCAGTAAATAAATGAAATGAAAACAGAACGGATATTAAATGACCGTATTTTGATGGTGGCGTTCCGCGTCATTTCTTGTAAAATGCGTCTTCTCAATGTTGTTTGAATATTGTCGAATCTCACTCAATTGCAAATCGAAAGCATTCAACTAAATTTGACATGAATTAGGAAATTATACTCTCTTACAGTTCTACATTATACTTGTTAGTAACTTGTCGGAGCATATAAATGTCAATCCGAGGAATGCGAATGTTCCAACACAAACAGAATTAAAAACAAAAAAATTTTTCAACGCTTCAAATCTCCCAATTCAATTGCATTCTGTCGAAGAGCGATATTGAATAGATGTAAGAATGAACCTCTTTCTTAATTTCATTAGAACAACGCACTGCATCTCTGTATCGACTGGTTATACTTGGACGTGATGATTTGTGTTTTGAATCCGATCGTTTCATCTTGATTATAATTGATTAAGCTTATGCGAGTGTTACTTTGAATCTATACAGAACAGCCTGAATTATTATGTCACCGTAATATTCAGTGAAAATATAATAATAATAATATCAATGGTAAGAAGTAATAACAATAATAATAATATAATCATAATTATAATGATAACAATAATGACAATAGTAATGACATTGATAATAATAACAATAATAATGTTTATCTGCATTACAATATGTTGCCAAAATGGTGAAACATATCACATTTCAATTTGTTGTTGGAAAAAAATACATCTCAAGAGAAATCGATGGCAAATAAGAAAAAACATGTCAAAAGATATATAAATATTTCCTACAATAATAAAAATAACCTCAAAAATAAGGTAAAAAGTGACGGAAGTTTGAAAATATATACAACCATAGCATTGGAGATAATGAATATGGTAATTAGTTTCTCCAATTCCCTACCTTCTCTCAAAAGGACTGCCACGAATTGCTTAGGGATGTAAATCCGACCTGTTCTGGTGGAACGAATTGTAATCGTGTTTTTAGACTTTTCTAGATCTAGAGGAATGTTCTTGCTGAGTACTTTCCATATCCTAATCGCGCATTTATCATCTTTTGTGATGTTTGATTCGCGTTCTTCAACAGTGCATTTAAGGGAAATTTTTTGATGGGTTTGCTCGTTGCTTGCGGCGAATTAGAAAAGTCCATCCATACGACGATCAATATATGGGTCAATGACGTTGTAGGCGATCCGAAAAACGATATGCAATTTTCGCAGTCTCAAAGACTCCTACTTTAAGAATGATAACCTTTGTTGATATTCAATTCGGTTACGGGAACTTCTAAACTGAACAGGGAGAATTATGAATCAGATGAACAAGACGCACGCCAATTCGTCAGCCATATTAGCTTTTGAAGGATATATCGCGTGGTGCAGTTAACACATTCGTTTAAATGACTTGTTTAAGTTATTTTCTGTGACAGAACTTGCCAAAGAGCAACATTAAAGTGAAACGAGGCTGAAATGTGTTCTTTGTAAACAGCTAGTGGTTACGAGCCCGATGACTTAGCATCATTCTGCAAGCACGCACCGATTTCAAAGCACGTTAATTCCCACGTATAGTATGGCAGTACGGCACTCTGCCAACTGCATACCATGATATATCACCACAAATCATGTATGCACTACGATGTCGGCTATTCACAATTAGATATCCTCAATTGTCGGGTGCTGAATTCTTCTCGAGGGTGCGTTAAGGTGGTCAGTGTGAATGTTTTAAGTATTATTGAATTCATATGTGACCATTCAGATGAGGTTACTTCGTAAAGACGAAATGAATGGGGACCGGTTAAAGGAAGGCACGAAGAAGAATGAGGAGGCGGATACATGAATTGAGTACGGACATGGTTACAGTATAGATAGACGACTAATGAAGAAATTTGAAGAATTCGAGGATAGAGTCTAACATTTGAGAACAAGAGCAACTGAACGGCCCTCAGAGGATCACTTTTGGAGACTTTGACAGCAAATGTATCGAAATCTTTGCCGAACGGTAATATCGTGGAGATAAAACGGAAACATAGGTTTATCGGCATATCATTAGGTTTACCTGTTTTCAATGGTGCAAGCGAACAATGGTCAACGAAAAATAATTTGAAAATGCAACTGGCCAAAAAAAAAACATGATATACCAAAATCAGCACAAAAAAGATTCATCGGCATTGCAAAATCCTAACCATTTTTCAGTCCGGAGATCGTTCTTCAACCCTGACATTAACAGGGATTGATGAACGACCGGAAGCGGAAGACAAAACGATTGTAAGACGAAAGAAGAAGCAACAGTGACAACATTGTAAAATATTTTCTGGTGGCTCTTGGAAAAGGGCAGTCGAGGTGGTGCTATTATGCAAAGGTTTATTCATTTTGGATGGTCATCACGAATGCACCGGAAGTGTTTGATTTGTAATTCGAGATGTGCACGGCACTGAAACAGTATAAAATACTCTTTTATCAGTTACTGGAATTGTATAAAAGGTTGCCCCGAAATCCTGAAATTTTTCACAATATAAATGTCGGTATGGGGACTCCGTGCAAACACCACACATGTCACCAATCCCCTTGACACGCTGAAGCTTTCGAAAAAAAGGCCTTCTCATTAACCTGAACTGAACATTCAATCCATGCCAGTTCAATATCATTCTGATTACAATTCCTCGTCAAATGAAGTTGCCCTCTCAAAATTGGTTCCCATTAGAATATTTTGTCAATGAAATTATTCTCCTAGCCATGTGTTGCTGAAAAGAATTGGACCCAGCCTGTCACATTTATAACATTCATTCGAGTTGCATAAACATTATCAAATTTTATTCACAAAACAATTGGGAAGAATCAAATTATACACTTCAATGAGTCTATGATCTGGATTATCAACTAACATCAAAGCACTACGTTAAGAGTTGTCAGTCACTGAATATAACACGACAGTGTGATCTTTCTCTACGCTCAGACCTTTGAAATCAAAAGCGAAGTTCTCAAAGATCACCTTGAAAATATTGCTTTGTAACCATACAAATGTCAAGGAATAATTTCAGAATATTAAAGCGCTTCATTTTACCTATCGATTTCATTTTCTTTTCTAACGTTTTCAACTTTCTAAATGTTTCTGCTCATTCACATCTCATAACTTCCACCTTAGCTTTCATCATTAGAGCACAAAGTTCCAAGGTAATAAAATGATCGAGGACAATAACAACATCAACAAAATCAAAACATGCACACAGATATCCTTAAAAAACGGTAAGATGATGGAATAATCAACGAACGATACACGATCACTGGGATAATAGCAGAAAGTAATGAATTAACGAATTTCATGACGATAACACTCAACAGAAAAATTGAACTGGCGAAAACACATGGGAAATATTTTGAACGTTATCATTAATGTAAGATAACGCGTTAATGTAAGATTAATGTAAGATGAGTCGGCGAAGTATTTCAAGATAGATGCTGTTTGTTGAAACTGTGAATAAATAAAATGCACTGATCAGTTATGGCCGTTTTCAAGGAAATAAAACGAAGCGAATACGGATATCGAAAACACGTGAGAGCAATCATGAGTTTACAGATTACCGTTCAGAAAATAACAAAGTAACGATTATTTGAATGATCATCCACAACAACCTTCATAAATTCCGTAAAAGTACGTTCCCTTTGCGAACAGCGCTGCTCTCGAAAGGGAAACAAACTGAAAGCGAATTTTGATTAGACAAATTGCATATGCTTGATCAAAATTCTGCAAGTTTAATAGATATACGATTAAAACAGAGTGAAGGATTCGAACAAGCAGGAGAATAAAAGAAATAAGTGGCAAAGGGAGAGTGAATGCGGCAGACACGACTTGAAGAACACAAACGATAACTGTGTGCAATACAAAACTATTCAAGTTCCGCTGAAATTAGTCACCCAAACACGGAATGAATTGAGAAGTTAATCAAGAACACATAACTCTGAGTCGACAACGGGAAACACGCAGAAGGAAATCGTTATTATTTATGAGGAACACATTCAGACGATATAATTCTTGAACAACAAAAAATTGCAAATGAATAAAACAACATTATGCTGTTCGTAATGTTATAAGAACAATCGGCGTCCTTCAAATACTTTACACTCGAGGTCGACTGTTGGAAAATTTATCCGTTTACGCTGTTGAATCTTGCGAAAACACTCCCCTTGATAAGAGATAATTGACGAATTTCAACGCATCTCTCTTAACCATCTCTGAATATTTATTTCATTTTCTCTTCATCTTTGAAAACAATGACCTGCTTAATATTAATATGCAAACTTATAGATGATATTGAGCAAACTTATAAATCCGGTTGGACGGACAAAAAAAAAACCTTGAACAGAAACAAGTTCTGAGATGGTATCGCCATTCTTCCGACAGAGTACTTTCACTGAACCACACTCCAATTTCAAAACACCAGCTATTTCGAACTGTTCATCTCCTGCAAACATGTAACATATGCAATCAAGATGCTCTTTCACAAAAAATACGCCATTCAACGACTACGAGACAAAACATCTTTAATGCACGTACATATTCACAGATGGATGAATAAGTAAACACTGCAAATCGAATTGAATTTCTTTCGAACTGAACACTCAAAAAATATGCTCACATTAATTCTCTAAAAGGATACAGCGTTAATTCGAAAATTGTTTGCAAGAATTTTCTCTGGAATTCCACTCAGCGGTAATAATTTTGAAGCTTAAATTATAAAAGTATGAATAAATCAACGTGAACAATATCCTCACCCTTTGGATCACTAACACAACCATTCTGTGTCGAACCGTTCGTCGACTTTTTCATTTCAGATGTCTGAAAAATTCAGAATAATTGGAGCAATGAAAACTTTGAAATCAATAGGAAGAAGCAAGTTGAAAAGATACACTCACGATAGTTTCTCGCTTGCGTTTTACTTGCTCATCGACATCGATGGAAAGATTGCTGCTGTTGCGTTTAATTGGATCTGATTCTTTACTTGGCGATTTCCTGCTTCGAGTCGACGATGGCACAGAACGTTTTTTGCTTCTCGGTGATACTTCTCCAGTTTCATTCTCTAAATGAAAAACGATCAGTTACATGGAGTGAAGACCATCGAAAGTCAACAAGCAAAACCATCGAAATCGAAGGAGGAATAAAGATTTAAGAAAATTAATGTTTCTTTTTGAACTTATATTCATATAACTGATTTAGCATTGCTGAACGACCGATTGCAAATATACCGACTTGCAAAGAACTGAACTGCTGATTGAAGGAACAGAACTTTAAAGCTACATCAAATACCAACAATTAAACGTGAAATTATTTCACATTCATCAATTATAACTGAAAATTGATTCAACGAAACAAAATCTCAGGAAAAGAAATGCCAATGACCAAATTCATATTCATACGAAATAAATTCGTTGAAAATTGATAACCTTTTTTGGACAAATTTTTTCGTTCAGAATCATCATCCAATTCAACATCCTCTGTATCATCATAGAGCCATGCGTATTTCGGATTTCGTGGACAAGGTTCCTTGCAATTGAAAACTTTATTGAATACTTGAAAGTTTGTTGAATACTTGCATGTTAAACACAGAATATTTTGGGAACGAATCTACAGAGGAAAGTAATGACTGAAAATCAATTGATTGATGGATCTTCAACTGCTTAAAAACTAACACATAATAATATTAAGATAAAGATTTTGTGTTTTATGTTAATCTCAAATATCAAGTTGATTCCTTTTACAATTATGCTAGATTCAGTGAAATTAGCGGTAAATTTAATGGCGACGAGTTACCTTCGAAATTGGTTCTTCACCACGACGTGAGCTCTCTCTTGTAGCCCTAGGATGCTGGATCGTTTTCTTCTTTCTGAACAGAAGGAATATTACATGGCTGAACAGTGCTTGCCCAGTATCTACAGTGTTTCCATACTGAAGATTCCTCAACAACATTTTAGAAGTACTGATCAGAAAGCCTACTGAAGAGTACATTATGAATAGCGATTCGACAGAGAATCATGAAATGAAATGAACACAACTTAATAGGATAACTGGAACGAAACAATGACTATTTCATTTGATAAGGAATACTTTTTACGAGGTCGCGGTAACGAAGCAAAATCGTCATCATCAGACTCATTTGAAGAGTTCTCTCCACCGTTATCATTCTCTTCCTTCTTCTGCTCTTTCATTCTGTCGCTCGCATCATCGTCATTGTCAGTGTCACTGTCAGACAATTTCACTTTTGGGTCACTCACGCGATTGCTCCGTCGATTTGATCTTTTTGGTGCCTTCAGATTTTTCCTCTTCATTCAAAAGCTTATCATCAAATCATTCTTGCATTTTTTGCGTAATNNTACCAATGAGCCTCGACGTTTTCCCGACCGACCGATGTTCTTTTTCTTGCTTCTGCTTTCGAGCGAGCGCTTCATTCTATTGACCTTTTCTATATTATTTGCGATGTATTCATCAAGAATAAGCCTTGCCGATTCGAGATTCTCTTCTGGCTCCCATGAATCTTCTCCCGATCCGTAACCCTTCCATCGAACCTGAATTTTTTAAAATTGAAATCGCTCACTTCGAGATTCCCTATTCCATTCCTCGTTCAACAAAAATTACGTATGATGGCATGGCAAATGATAATCAAATATTTTAATGTAAACATCACATCTCGAATGGAAGAAATCCCTTGCCACATTATTTCTTTCATACAATAAATAATTACGTCTAATTTCAGGTATATCTGAGCAGCAAATGTCTCAAACGAAATATGAGTGAAGAGTGCAAAACAACGAATAGTTCCAAAGTGCTACTTTCAAAATCGAATGCAATATCGCCCACAAGTTAAACTCACCGTACTACAAACTATTTATTGAAATGCGTCTCATTCAAAGTGAAGAACCTCTAGACGACCGAGAACAATAAGACTGATTTCACGAGTACAACGAACAAACCTCATACTTCAGCATTCCTTCATCTATTTTCACTCCCAAAATACGTTCTACTTCATATTCATCCTCATCTAAGCCACTGCTGTCGCCATCTCGTTGATCCTTCTCTTCATCATCAGGCTTCAATGCATTTTCATAATCACCTTTCCAGTTAGTTCTTTCATTAAGACAACACAAGATAAGTTTTACGACCCATTTCAAAGATGATAAATATTACTGTTCTGATAAATAATTGAATTCACACAAAGTACTACATAATAAGCAACAGATCAATAAATAAATGAGACCAGCAAATAAATGAATGAATCACTGAGGACATACCGAATGATCTGCATTACCATTCGAAACCTCTGTCTCCTTCTGCACTTCCTCTGCACACGACACATCCGTTTTCATTTCTACTGCTTCAGTGCTCTGCAATTCCAAACATTCATTTCAGCTCCAATATATTTAATGAATAAATGAGAATTTCAAAATGAAAAAAAAAACATTGGTTTACAATGATGCATTGGGATCAGAAGGTTTCAATGAGCCCTACACAACGTCACAAGACTATTTATTTAGCCGCAATTAGCTTATGACAGGTGTCATAGAATCTAGTCGGCATAACAGAAAACAGCAATAATCAATGAAACAAAAGAATTTCATTTGACGATAAGAAGCAAGAATTTGGTCTCAGAGAACTACTAACATCTGATGTAGTGTTTTGAGCGTCTGTAGTCGTTTTACCCGAATCACCACTCTCGTTAAGATTCGTTATAGTACCTTCCATCCTGATTATGAGATCTTGAAATTCATAAGGATTTACGATGTCAAAAGTTTATCAACATAACTTTTCATATAATGACGGTACGATTTTTTGAACCAAAACAAAGCAAGAGAATATCACATCCATATTCCGTTACCCGCCGTTTTGCGATTGAAGAAATCACTGACAAACGATTCAAAAGAATTTAGTCGACAATTCAAAAACATTTTAAAATATTACTCGACGCGTCAAGCATCGTAATCATCAGATGTTGCAACACATATATGTACTGAAAGGTCGCTTCGGAAAGAAATGCGTACCTCAAGAATCATAATAATTCACTGGCAGCGTTGAGAAAAAATTGGATATCAAATTACACAATTTGAATATCACTTGTTATCAATGAATGATCTAAGCACTCCGCCAAGATTCATCCTGGTTCGCAAGAAGACGTTTTTTACTTGTAGCAACTTGAATTTCGATTTCCGCCGCATTCAAAAATTCGAAATGTTTCATTCATTTAGCCGTGACGTGCCAGTGGTACTACTTTCAGAAAACACTTTGGAAGTGTGTGCTATGGATCGAGCTGAATGTCAGCGTCATCCACTAGAAATAGATGGAGGCTGGAGTATTAAATTAGGTCTGCAGCCAATTTTTGGCTCAGATTCATGCTTGTAGGTGAATGAAGCTCGATACGTTTTTCAGTTAGGTCTGAAGTTCGGCTACGTTTTACTGGAGCGGCCGAATGCACTTAACATGTAGCCGATTGGCAGCTGAAAGTAAAGATTAGCAAGCTTTGGAAGTCGCACGTGCTTATGAAAGGGAACGGAGGTATTGCAGCAGCCCCTTGTTAGCATGAGCCCAATTTGGAGTCTGATTCGGGCGAGTATGGCTAGTAAATCATGCATTACTCACCTGCCAAACATTGTAGAGTTATTTCCGTTCATATGTTATGAGCTTAGCAATATTCATGTTATGGGTTGCATTTACTATGATTTGATATGCGGAAGTTAGCAGAAGCATTTAACAAATGCCGCGTAGTGGAAAGGCTTGTGCTCAGGTTAGCGCCTGCTCACAGCTTTGTGTATTAATCTCACATTAGTGATTATATCAGTTTGCACTGTATTATTGCTGGAGTTGGGAAGCGACGAATTTTTTGCAGTGGTTTTCGACTGAATGTCCTGTTGGTGACCAGCCTAATTCGGTGGACACCGACAAAGCAACTTTCGAGCGTCAGTCGCTTTTAATCGATGACTACAGAAATTCGGTGTTCAGTGGCCACCGACGCAACGGTGAAATGTTGCTGTTGATAGGTGGTCATCGAGCGCACTCTAGTTATTGCTCTTCGATCAGTTTATTGAGAGCACAACCATGCGTAAAGCAATTGAAATTACGCTTCGTGATGCGTTCACGTCCAGTAATGTACACGTAATTATGCTCGCAGAGGCACAGAATATACCGATTCTATCAGCAAAAGCGCAATGCACGTCAGCAGTATACCAAATTTTTGATGTGTTATATTTGAAATTTTGATACAACGACTTCATTACTTACGCCATAAAATATTCGTGACTGAATCAGAATTCTGATCCTAACCGACACCTTGTTATTCTTCATAAAGCATCCAGTTGCGCAATCTAAAAGAGCTGAGAAAGTATGGATGGTGTTCATAAATTCGAATTGAACGAATTTGATATGATCATTTCAAACAATAGACGAGAGCAACCAAGGAATCCTGAATCAGCCTTTGAACGAATGGTTTGTTTCTTGATCGTCTTAAAATTTGTGGTGCTGTAAGAATAAGACTTCCGGTGACTCTGTTTTACTTATCACTCGCTTTTCGAAGCATGTATAAGTGAAGATGTATTCCATTGCCGAACGGAATTCATAGAATGATATCATTCTTTTGGGACCACTTTATGAAATGTTGTGAGAATAGTCAAGTATTTCCAGGCCGGTGGTTCATATGTCAAAGAAGAACCATCTGATATAACTGATCAGTCTGTAAATAATATTCTTATGCCGTCTTCATCATCTATCCCAACTGGTTCAACCTCGTCAGTTCGTGTCGTATGTGAGGGTTATATTCCCGTGAGTTGATTTATAATTTAATTTTGAAGTTCTTCAAATGTGTCACTCGTGTTCTACCTTTCATAACTGTTTTATTTTTCATAAGTTTGTAATCGATTTCTTCAAATATTGTAAGTTTCTTTTCTTAGGTTTTGCTGGAGCAGTTCCGTTTGAATATTTCTTTTCTTATTGTACTATTCTTATGAAAAATATTGCATTGAAGAGCAAACGATTCGTCATCAACAGTCCCTTAAAATAGATTCACATGATGTGTAAATTGCGTAGTAAACTCAACCTGATTTTTGAGCTTAATATGCAATAAGAACAAATGAAGAGNAAACAAAATGTTGCATCGATGTGATCGTGAAGTACAACCTGAACACCTGCAAGTTTCTTATACATCTAAATTCGAACGGCAACCTCACAACGATAATGATAATAACATGTCGGCTGCTCGGACTGATGTAAGTTGTTTTTAGCTTCCTTTCAGCTCATTTCGGTTTTCTTTCGTTTTAGACGTTTATACCAGATATCACCAGAGTGTGAGTGTTGTTCGAGTAACTTCAATTTTTAGCGTACCACCGTGAAATGAGAAGCTTTAAAACGATTGATGAGAACTGAACTCTAAAATAATCGAAGATCGCCTCTTTATTCAGCCGTTTTTTTGGTTGAAACGATGGTCTTATTGAAGCCGTAGAAGGTTTTATTCGATTGAAGCGTTGACATATCAAACAGCAAGTCTTTTTGTACTACATTTTCAATGTACAATTCGAATGTTTTCAGCCTTCTCAAACTGCATTCAAAAGTGAGTCCGTAGACTACATGGACACAATGTTGCACCAGTCAAATCGCAGAATAGCATCTGAATGTTTACAAATGTCGCATAATCGGTTTGCGGATATGTTCGAACAAAAACCAGGCAGCAGCACCAGTAATATATCAGCTGATCAAGTCGAAATAGATTCTCTTAATCGTTTTATTTAGAAATTTTTCTTTTCCTCAAAACTATATGTTGAGTCTTACCTAACAACAAGTACTGTTCATATGAGTGCCATTATGGAATGAAAACCTTAAAGGTGGTTGATGAGAACTAAAATCAGAAACCTGTAAATCTTTCTTTTATTCAGACGATTTTTGATGGAAACAACGATTTCATTGAAGCATCAAAGATTTCTCATCGGAAAACGTATTACGGCGCCAAATTAACGACACGTTCACGTCAAGATATGATGCTCGAAGAGCCAACTGTTGTAAGTACTAAGTGTCATTTTATCTTAATTCAATTCTGTGTTCTTATTAATGATAAAAATTGATAACGAATGTCTGTCCACATTTTGTCAACCTTTCGAATCGCATGGTTTGCTTTGTTGTTCCATTTTGGCATCATTTTCTATTAAGATTGACTTCATTTTAACGGTAATACTTTCCCAATCGTTTTTCGGAGAGCAGTAAAGAGTCTTGATGAGAACGTCGCATAAGTCGATCGGCTGGCAATTACCCATAAGTATTGAACTTGAGTGCAGGAAATCATCGCATAAACACCTTTTTTTGCAATTCATTTGATTCAGCTGCTTTATATTCATTGCTTTTAGGTATGCACTTCCAAGCGTAGAGTTTCCTCGGAGCAAAACGTTGCAGCAAGGTTTGTTTCATTGATCGTTCATGGTCTCTTCAATACAGTTTCTTAATTATATTCACACTTTTTAATATGTCGATGTTTTTTACGCTTCACCTTTGCTTCATCTCAAGGACTGTTCCGTTCGCTCACTTGTGCCTCAATTCGAACATTCCACATAAATCACATCGAATTTCCTCACTAAAAAACTGATGATCTTCTAGAAATGTTTACTTTTTTGTTGACTATTTGCTATATAGTTTGTGCATTTATGAAAGCAGTTACGGCGAAACAACCTTAGATTATTTCGTTTTCATTTCGTTCGAGCACTTTCAGTGAATGATATTGAGTGATATCTCATCACGTCCACGCCAACATAGATTTGACTATAATTAGCAGTTTATTCGTTCAGTTATGACTTTCACCGTAAGTGTAAACTTAAGGAAACGCAAATTATCCGCTGTTACTAGGACAACAACGAACGCAGAATGGAATAACGATGATCAGGTGAGTTCCAGACCGTCCGGTAGTCGGCTGGATTCATCACATACTCGCAACGTACTCCCAGATTTCATTTAATCTTTATTTCATATCATTTTCTGGCACTGTTGTCATTGTGCTGACGAAACGTTAACAGTGAGGAAAAATTTTTCCAAGTCCAAGATCTCTCATATGAAGGCCACTGTATGCGTCCATTGATTACATCGCATCTCTCTTTTGTTGTACTCCGTCTCG